GCTCACGAAAATTTAAGTTAAACATATTTGACCGCTTAAGTTAATTAAATCAAGAGAGAACTTCTTCATTTACAACATTAACTGTCTTTCTATCAGGAGCTTCGGACTGCTCACTCTGAAACTGCCTACATAATATTTTGGCCAGAAAACTATTCCCGGTGTATCTGCTTTTACATAGGTTTACATGCTTAAACCTTATTTTCCAATATTACTGACAGATCTCCAAAAACTTTGTTGGGAAGTTTATGTCTTATCTTAAATTAACATTAAGTGACATAAAAACCTTGCACGATGTTTTATTGTGGTTCTTATAACCCTCAAAGGGCCTAAACAGTTGCAGGTCTACAGTGTCTATGATGTTTTAAGCAAGCAGAATGTAATCACATAAATGTGTCTATTCTGAATATCTTAAGAGCAAGCATTTCTTTACGAAAAAAAAAACATAAACAGCTAAAAGTTTTTACATAATCAGCCAAAAACATTAACTGGGATTGTAAAGCAACATACTAACCTGAAATTGCATGATTGTGCCGTTTTTATTAGCCTAGGAATGGAAGTGATTAAATTATCAAGCACTTCTGATCTTCTATCTTGAGTTCCCATTATAAATTATCATGAAGTAGCCTAGTGATAGAATAAGGCAGATATGATCCCTTAAAATATTAGGTGAAACTCGATTGCAAATAATCGTTCCTTTGACATTGATATTCTGAACATACCTACTGTTATATAGTTGTTGAGAAGCAGATCTTAAGAACATTAACAAATAGAGTACATCTTAATTTTTAAATTAATTTATCGATTGCAGAAAAAGTTTTAAGTTACGCAGTTAAACTAAACACCAATTATTTTCAAGCCACCAAATAATGCAAATATTTAAATTTCAATCAAATAAATACAACCAGCTGTTCCCTTATAGGCCAGTCAAATTAGAACTTTTTGAAGAATTAATTTCCAGCAAGCTGGAAATCGTTTTAATACCTTCATTTGGTCCCAAATAAGTGTAATCTGAGTTTGCACCGTCCTATGAGGTGAGCTTACATTATGGCAGCCTAAAATAAATTAAATTTAAGCACTTTTTCAGTTTTTTCCAAGTTGCTTAAAAACAGTGTGTCGGACGCAAACAACGTCCTAATAATATCAAAGAGGATTAAATTTTGCATAAAATGAGTATATAAATATCCAAATTCGGTTAAGTAGTATAGCCAAAATATTAAGTTTTAAATATATAATTTTTTTGTTTCATTGCATCTTACATTTTGCGACTTTCCAGAACCCCATACTATCTTTGAAAGAAACACACCCATGACAATTTCCTTCTTCGTACGAAATAAGAGTGGGGAAAACAGCTGATCAAGTATTCCCAGCTGTTTGCAGTTGCATAGTACAGCAATATCATTGCTAAGTGGCTGTCATCAGTTACTTTGGAAGTAAAGTTATTATAAGTATTTTAAAAATAATTAAGGGCGTTTATCAATATTTGTATTCGTTCAAGAAAGTGTTATAACGTAGTGATCTGTTATCTTCATGACATTAAGTGTCGTGTTTAACATGTTCGGACATGCAATCCTGAGTATTTAATCTGTGATAGACTTTTACATGTTGAGGCCTCAACTTCTGTTTAACAACAAGGAATAATGATAATAATAATCAAGCAATCCTTAGCAAACGTAATTTTTACTAAAATGTTGACTGCAACAATGCTGAAAGAACAATTTCTCTCTAACTACAACAACAAAGGACGGCTTATCTCCATGCTGAGTGAGCAAGTGCTCCAAGGGTTTGAAATCGGACAAGCTCTTGAGGATGCTGATACCCTCATTGTCAACACTGCCATTCAAATGGCTGAGAACTTTGCGAAAGTCATTATAATTGAATAGGACACAGATCTATTGGTCCTATTAACCGCCAAAGCACCAAATTCCTCAAACCTTTACCTCAGGAAATCTGGAATGTGGACCTCTTAGAACACACTCCGAGGCATTTCAACTTCTATCTCCTGTCAAAGAGAACCTTCTGTTCCTATATGCAATCAGTGGGTGAAATACTATCTGTATTCTATCGCCAAGGGAAGTTGAAGATTATAAAACTCCTTGAGAAGAACACGTTGCTGGGGGCTGTAAAGCTTTTCCACCATACATATGCTCATCCTGAGGGCCTAATTTTAGCAGGTCAACTGTTTGTGACAATCCTATAATCATCTAAAGCCGATAATACCTCACTGGACAAAATTCCTTATGGGATGTTCTCAAAATCCATTTCAAAGTTAACTTTCTATACACTATATTTCTATAACTTTCTATATAGCTTCCCTACCACTATAAAAAAAAATAACAAATGCAGTCGCCGCCCAACACATTCTACGAGTCTAACACTAAATACAGAGCTGGTATGATAGACCAGTGGATCCGCTCAACTGGGGTTGGAGGATGGCGGAACATGGTTTACTCCCAACCATAAACACAAAGAATCCAGCTCCAACTTAAATCCTCAACATAGTGTCATGCGTGTACAGGAAAGTGCAGCTGCCGAAAAGTAGATATGGAATGCTCAACAATTTGCCTTAGCTGCCATGGTCAGTCATGCTTAAATTCAGCAGTTTCAAGATGAGGGTGTGTCCCACATACCGAAGACCGTAGAAGCAGAAACATGTGAGGACAGTCTCTTTGACAATCCACTGCAGCTTGAGATAAATCCTAACATTTATGTAGGATGTGCAGCCAAGAGGTCAGTTTATGGAACCCGATTTTAAGGTTTATGCAAAATTAAGTCTTTAAAAATGAGTGAAATTTTCAATTGAAATACCTTTTTAACGTGTTATATTATACTATACAACATTAATTCTATCGATTTGTTCTTATGGTGGTCAGTGGTATGATGGGATGTCGACTTTCCAAGGCTAAATATGGTTTGCAATAAGATGAAAAAATTATCTATTTTTTAACAAAGATATTGGCTATGCTACTGTACCAAATTTGAATATTTATGTATTTGTCTGGTGCACTATTTTTTAGCTACAAGCAAAAGATAAAATAAAGTTCTGAAATTTAATTTATTTTAGGCTGCGATAGTGGTATGAGTTTAACTCCTAGGATGGTTAAAATTAAACAGATTAAATACTCAGGATTGCATGTCCGAACATGAAAATATATATATATTTAAAACTTAATATTTTGGCTATACTACTTAACCGAATTTGGATATTTATATACTCATTTTATGCAGAATTTAATCCTCTTTGATATTATTAGGACGTTGTTTGCGTCCGACACACTGTTTTTGAGCAACTTGGAAAAAACTGAAAAAAGTGCTTTATTTTAATTTATTTTAGGCTGCCATAATGTAAGCTCACCTCATAGGACGGTGCAAACTCAGATTACACTTATTTGGGACCAAATGAAGGTATTAAAACGATTTCCAGCTTGCTGGGAATTAATTCCTCAAAATGTATTATTTTTATCTAATTTTACTGGCCTATTAGTTTTTAGTATAAAATTCTCAAATATTCGTCTGTTCAAATTTAAACAAATCAATTCTCCAGAAGGATAACATGGGAACTTTAGAGACCTCTGGGGCAGAGCCCTAAAGGAATTTCTTGAAAACGCTTCTCATTGCACATCTAAAGCCTAATTAGAATCTCCATGCCAATTCCCGAGTTTTTAAGGTTAGTAGTTTTTAGTGAGTCAGTGAATGGTATTTGACTTTTATTAGTATTATGTAGAAGATAGCAGAAGCTGGGCGATAAAGGCTCATTATTGGCAAAGTCTGGTTAAGTTGCTTTTAGGATTATATACAAAAAATTGGAATATCTTGCAAACTATAATAAATTCAAACGGAACTGTCTTAATTCTAAAGATAAACATACATCTTGAACAAGTCAAAACACATTATCTCAATAACAAGAAATCGTCCCCAAATACTTTTCAGACTACCATAGTAATCTAAAGATTCTAAAGGGAGGGGTAACATAATTGGCGCAGTTGCTTTTCCACGGGAGAAGGGGGTTTTGTTTTGTTAAAATAGTTATGATATTTTTCACTTTGTTCTTAAGTAGTAATACGTTAGTGTGTATATTATCCTACGTGTATTTTACCAGTTCGTGTTTCATATTTATAACTGATTCTTATGGTTCGTAAATATTTTCTTGGTTGGTTTATTCTTTTTGATACATCAGTGTTATTTTCAAACATTTCGGTTAAATAATGGATATTTTTTGTTGTGAATAAACAGAAAGTTTCATATTGAATCTTTTAAAAGTTTACACCCACATATTATTCATGAAATATTAACGGTAGGTCTTAGTTACATCATCCACTAACTGAAATTGTTGTCTTTAATGTTGAATGTCCCTACTATTTTACTGAAATAACTTTTCATGTTTGACTTTATGATATTTTGACTGGTAAAGTATTTCTACAATACAAACAAACAATACGCTGTAACACAAAAAGTATATATGTGAAAGTTCCTGTTTTGTTTGCGCTTTTTGAGTGCACTACTTATTGTGGTCAGCCAGAGCTTATTTGATGGATGTTGGGTGTTTTACTGGCCTAGTGTATAGCATGTCGGATTACAGCGCAAGAGTTGCGGGTTCGTTCCCCGTCTTATTCATAGAAGTTAGAGCAGCTCTCACTAAGATACGTTTAACTCTCTACAAAATTACACAGGGGTGGACACTAAAAAAAAAAAAAAAAATGGACTGCCTAAAGAAAATTTGACGTACCCAAACCCTATTGGACCACTCAAATCCTCTTCCTTTTTTTCTTCTTACAACTTACAATGATGATTTTTCGTAAAACCCTCCATAACCCGATTCACCATGAATGACAGTATGAATGAGCTCTTGGAATTCACCAACTGGATCTGTGAAATAAGAATTCGCGGAGGGGGAAACCAGACAATCCAAATTAAATGACGACGGCGGCGTCCTTGAAGGTGGTCTTGGGTAAGCTAGACTTTCACCTTTAGTTCGCCAGTCGGCCGTACGGCGCGCTGCAACACTTTCTCTCGATCATCTGTTCTCAGTCCTATGTGTGTGTCATGGCGGTAGACGTGTTCCAAGTCGGGATTTCGATTTGTTTGTGTTTTTTACTTACTGGATTCGCAGGTGAGTGTCAATATTATGCTAAAATTATGAGAGAATCATAATTAAATCACAAGTGAAAGTTGGTTTCCTAGAAATGTCCTTTGAAGATTGAGGTTAAGTATGTAGGACGCTGATAGTGTAATCTAACGTGTTTTCGGTTATGCTAGGAATATCATTAGTTGACTCAATTGTTTAACATCCTTCGTTGGTAAATCACTCACATTTTTGTCGAATTTATCATAGTGAAAGCTCGAAAAAGGTCCATTCGTATGGAGCTTGACGAGATAGCTTTTAATGGGAGACTTTAATGAGTGTGTTGAAGTAAACATACGTGTATATTCGGTTTTTACAAGTCAATATGTAGATTTTAAGTGAATACCATAATGGTTGGTATGTATAGCAGTCAATATCGAATGAATAAACAAATTTAGAGAGGAAACTTTTTATTGCATCATGCGTTAGTTTTTTTTAAGTGTTGGATTGTACCTAATATTTAGGCTTCGTATTGATACATATACACAGTAATAATTGATTGCTAATAAGATAATAATACTTGCAACTTAAACAATCATTACATTTGTTGATTGTCTGCATTACTTTTAAAGCACAGATTCTGTGTGGGAAAGATTTCTTTTTTAATACAGAGATATGTATACTACAAATTTGTACAAAATGATACTACATATTATACAGTGTGTGTTAATGTCTAAACCCCGTTTTAGTTTTAATTATTACCGTTACGAACGAATAGTAAGATAAATCGTCCCAAATAAGATTGATATAGGTACAGTTAATTGATTTCTTGTTTTTGACTACGAGATTAACGTTAAATCAAGTACCTAATTTGCCAGTGGCAAATCTCTCTAAATTGCTGTACTGTACTTGAGTTGACAGCTGTTATTTATTTGTGGAATAGATTTATTGATTAATCTAAATAATATTCTTACGTGTCTCTAACTAAAACCAATGTTGCACATAATATAAATTTAGCACATTTAATAATCAAGAAACTATCACAAGCAAAATTGTCAGATTTATACTTGATGTTTTGATGAAAAATAACTGTACAATTAATGCCTTTTAGCTTAATCTTTTGAAACATCGTTGTTTAGGAAGAGGGCAAATAAAAAAAAACGATTGACCAGAATGTTTAAATTTGTACTTAGGCTAACTTTAAATTAAATTGTTATATTGATTTGTTTGTTTTGTAAGTTTTTTTTATTGTTATGTTTTATCTCGCTCTAGATAAGCAATAATTTAATTGTATGTTTCATCTCTATCGCGTAAAGTGACTCTTTTCGACACTTTTTGCCAGTGAGATAACTATATTTTTTGTCATAATGCAACATTAACTAACACGCTTTTGTTAGAAAACATTTATACTTTTCATGTCAAGATAACCTCTCAAAGCCACCTTTGACTGATTTTTAATCTTGCTAATGCAAAAAAAAATCTTGCTAAAGCGGCAGTATCCTGAGGGATTCGACCATTTCATACATATTCCGGTTGTGTTGGTGCCCCATTCATGTTGAACTATTGACAAGAATGCAAAAATAAGCTGTAACAGATTAACTCAATATGTTAAATAATTTATATACATGCGATTACTCACAATCAACGTTTACTACTCTTTACAACAGCTGATTTTTTACTACCTAAGGACTAAAAGTATTACTTTCAGAACCAACGCTAAAACTGCTGTTTTCGCTGCAGTATGACGAAAAAACTTATTACTAAGTTTGGAACAGCTGATTGTATACATACACAGCATATTATTTCCTGTAGGATATTTTTTAAATTTCTATTTAACGCTTTAGAACAAATAACCTTTTAAATTCGTTAAACATGACCTCCATACTTTGCTTAAATATGAAGCAGATCTTAGTTATTTCTATGGTATGTATACAATTATGGCAATAGTTGACGAGAGAAGTTGTCAAAAAGAAAACTAAGCCTATCGAAACCCATATGATTATAGACTTAGAAGAATGGTACGTTTTTTATTCAAAATGGAAAATCCCTTCATAGAGATAAATATAACGTACATGATCACAGCTTCTTCCTTGGTTGCATTTAGATGAAATTCACAAAAATCTTGACTTAAATTAGGCTACATTGAAACATTGGCTAATGGGTTACTAAAGGTTTTTTATACCACAGCCACTGATAACTTATACTCCTAAGTTAAGTTTGATTTTGGACTTTTATTTACTGAAGTAGACATCTTATACTAATGGATCAGCTGTTTAATTTCATTCAATTAGAACATAGTTGAATGAGATTCTAAAAGAGTGTGCTACTTAACAATTTGTATTTTCTATCAATTAACAATTAGTTGATGATTCATGCTTCATTGAACACGCTATAGTTAACGGTTAGTTTTTTCCCCTTTTTTATTCCAGTTTGACTTTGATAAAATATGTTTTGTATTCAACAATCAGTAACTAACAGAAACACTCTCTATCGGTGGTTTTATTCGTCAACGTTTCTTTTCATTATATACCGGAATTGAGTATACACGTTACGTGTATACTCAATGATACTGGCTAAAATATTGTATGGGAATGGGGTGTCTAGGTGTATCAGTCAATGGTACGACATACATACTTAACGCGCTTCCTTCCACCAAGGTTCAACCGTAAAACTTATTAACTAGCTCTAAACAATCCGTTCACATAGTCTATCCTTCCAAGAAACAAAGGATAGTTTCCCTAATGGAGCAATAAAGAAAAGTAAAAGAACTATTTTTACCACGATCAGCTGTCCTTGAGTATGTCACAATGACACTCGCAAAAGTTTATTGGATTTGCTTGCATTTCTTGTTTGTTGAAACCTCGTGCCACGAGTTTGCATTTTATTAAATGCTTGGATTGCAGCCGGATCTTCGTGCTGCTTCACGAGGTATTTTCACGCGTGCTTGACTCCACGCACACACACGCACACACTCACACAGACACATTAATGGCGTCATATATCACCTGGGGATTCCCATGTGTATTGAGGGGACTCGGTATCTCAATACTTCTAGTTTTCTTCGCATTAAAGATCAGATCATTATCGCTTTACATTTTTTGCAATATCTAATGAATGACAGCCAAGCTACAATGAACATTTGATTATTGATACAATTATAAATTCTAATTCAACGTAAAATGCGTTGAACTGTAGAGGCGCACTGTAGAGGTCAGGTTTACAATTTGTTTCGTCATTTAAGACGTCATACAAGTTATCATTTAAAACGTCGTTTAACCAAATACAACGATCTAATCATAAACAGCAACTCGCCCCCTAGGTACATAAGGAAACGGTAAATTGCAAACAATTAAATTAACCCTAAAATAATATAAACAAAATATCGTCAACCCTAGCGATCATTGTCACCGTACATGAACTATACAAAACGAGCTTCAAAATTTACAATGGGATGAGAAGTCCACTTATTTTGGTTAGTCTGTGTGTATTGGATACTACTGGATACTGAAGTAGACATCCCATCTATATAGCTGTTGCCAATTATTTCATTAAAAAAGAACCTAGTTGTGTGAGTTAGTCACAGAATGCGCTGGTGTCTAAAATTCAATTTTGTACCTTATACTGAAATAGTTGATGGGCCACAACAGTTGCAATAGCTCACAATAAGTCTTTTCACAGGCTTGACTCGGTAAAAAGTGTTTGTTTCAACAGAAATTAGTAATTGGGTTCAGTGCAGTTTGTTGGTGGCTCACATCAACAATGACGATTTTGATAAAAACTTATGACAACTTAAACAAGGGAAAGGTATGTCTTATTGTATGTTCAAGGGGGTTGTTGTTCAATTAATAGATGTTGATGTCTTGCAGTCAAAGCTAACAACAACTAATAAAGTAGAATAGTTCAACCATATCCTTTATTTGTGGAGTTTAGAGGTATAAGCTATTTTTTCTAAAGATTTCAAAAACAGATAACCACGCTTATAACAGAAAATACATTTTCTATAAAATAGTATCTCAGACGGTCGATGAATGCTTAAAAGGATAAAAATTACTTCAGCAAATTCTAAATATACTGTCTCAACATTTCAGAAAAATCGTTACTCTCAGCTGAATTTAAAACTGACAATCATATGACGACCAAAACAAACAAACATTCACACAACGCCAAAGTCAACATTCACTTTAAATTCACCGTGATATTTTTACACTTTTCACTTCACAAAGGAAATTTAACTACTCCTAAATAGATTGAAGATAGTTCTAAGATTTGTGCGCGTGTGAGTACTATTGTGCAGACACATCCCAAATGTCGTTTGCTAGGAGATTGCACAAGGAGTTAGCTGAGCTGAGGGATGCAGATTTGCCCTACTTTACCAACATACAAGTAGATGACGCTAATGTGCTAGTCTGGAGAGGACTTCTCGTACCAAAAGACCAACCCTACAACAAGGGAGCGTTTATTGTAGAGTTTAACTTTCCGCCCGAGTACCCTTTCAAACCTCCACAGGTATGCAAACTCCTCCGATTATGATTCCAGAATTGTTTCTAGTTAAATTGTTGTTAATACATTTTATAGGATAGTTTGTTTACGTTATGATTTCCCAGTGTGTTATATAAATACTGTAGTCTTTGATACAGAGGTTATGATGTGGATAAAGATTTGAAAACATACTTTCTTCGTATGCTATAACTATCAAAAATCATAAACTAAACTTACGTTTTCCTTATTGCAATTCTCATATTTTAGGCAAACTACGAACAATTTTAAATGAAAGGTTTACTTTAGGTCAATGTACTCTTTAACAATACTTATCTGGCAACTTGTTTTGAATTTGGTGTAGTATTACAGTCCAATAGTTATTTTACTCTTGACATTATTGAACATGAAAACAAAGTCATTTGCGCCCAGGTTTGTCACCTCCTTATATTATACGTATTCCCTTAAAATCAATAGAAATTAGCTACCTACTTAATTTGAAAATAAAATTACTTAATTTAATACTTAATACTCACCCATTGCGCAAAAGACCTGGGTTTTCGTTCCAATTT